TACATTTTTAAATATTTCAAAGTTAACCCATGACTGGAAGGCCAGGTGAAACTGTGCGTATTTAACGCGCAATCTGTGCGTAATGGGTTAGTTACGCACTGAAACGGACGTCAATTGGAGTGTTTCCCTGGGAGTGATGCTGCTGTGTGGTGAATCAAAACGTTTCTTCCCAATCGTGTTTGTCTCCCACAGGGTTTGAGGACCATCACTTTAACTTGTGTTCTCACCCTTTTACTGCTGGCGACGTTTGTCTCGCAGTCGTGGGGTGCACCGAAGGTAAACCCGGTTTTCATCTCCGTGTAGAACTCCATTGACAGTGATGTGATGACTTTATAACTGTAAAATAAAAGTTATCATAATCTAAGAATGACTGACTGTCAGAAAAACGTATTCTTCTTCTTCTTCTGTTAATTAAAGGGCTCTTTCCAACGAAGAAACTGGAGCCCGCAGGCCATGTTGTACCTCAAAGGCACACGTATGCATGTATCTATTTATTACCTGTGTGTATGGAGACCCAGGGTGTTCAGTGACTCAATGGAGTGAATGGTGACGTGAAAAGACAGAGACACGTCATGTAATATAAGCACGACAAAATGTTTTGTTTATGTAATGAAGTATTTTTCTGTCTGTCAATCAAGACAAACATGACTTTGTGATGAGAGGTGACAGCCTGGGAGTAAAGAGAGAAAAAGGTCCTGGTCTTTATTGTGAAATAATTAACTTAGTTTTTTTATTCATTGGATTATTACATGGCTGCATGGTTCTATTATATGTCTGTTCATTTATATTTTTGTTATGTATTGATTTAAAATGGAAGTTTAGGATGTTGCTCTTAACATTTCACCAACTGATATTGTTGCATTGATATTTATAATGTGAGTATTTTCTTATCTGGTTCTAGACAAAGACTCAAAGCTGTTTTTTTTTTTTAACTTTGCAGAGGGACGCAGGTTCATCTCAGAGGACCGAAAAGAAGGCGATATCTATGACACATTACACTTAGGTACAACAAAGTTTGATTAATGAAATAGTTGCCATTAATAAACATCGTGTTTTTGTGGAGATACAAATGGAAACCTTTCCCGAATGTTTCTGGAAACACAATTAGTCCATGAAGTGACTAATCTGTGCTTGGTGTCTGTTCCCTGTCAGAGACCCGCAGTCAGAACACAGAGAAGCTGAGTGTGGACCAGGCAGCCACTGTCCTGCTCAACTTCCTGCAGCAGGCCAAAGAAGGAGGTGAGAGCGACATCTGTTCCAGCTGACTCAGCATAACAGGTGTAGCTTAGAAGAGGTGGAGCAAAGTTTATTCATATTAATTATTATTTATATATAAAGTGTAATTGTACATTAGATTTTGAAAAGTGCTCTATGAATAAAGTAAGTATTATTATTACTGACACTGACACCCAGGGCCTTTTTAAATAAAATTCAGTGAATTATCATTACAAAGGTCTTGCTGCACAAAATAAAAAGACATACATATTGTTTACATTTGGATTTGACTTATTGATGCTTTACAGGACAAGGCAGCGAGAAATATCTATTTATTTCACTTTCAAGGTTAAAATGTGTCCCTCTAATCCACAATCTTCTAATAACCTTTTATGAAGAAGAAAGATTTCGTCCTTTGCTGTGGTTCTGTCTCAAGATTTGTATTTTGATTCCATAATATAATGTTAATTTCCACTCTTTATAGCTGATGAAAACCCAGACGAGGTGTATTTCCAGGAGCTGCCGGTGTGGAAGAGAGAATTCTTCTGATAACCTTTCATACATTTGTAAAACTGCCAGAAAACACCAACATCTTTGTTTTTGAGAGTAACTTGTTCAGTCCCGCTTGAGGGAGAGGAACAGCTGTTTTTTTGTAAATATGAATTCTGTGTTTGAAATGTGTTGTTTTAATAAAAGGAATTTCAATTCATAGCACTTTGGGTCTGAGTTCAACTTGACAAAATGGGGAGGGTATCTTCATTTTGGTCACAACGCGTAAGAAAAGCATGTAGTATTTATTATGGTATTTAAATTATACAAATAAATCAAGTTATGATATGAGCATTTTAAGTGAATTACATATCATAATCATTTCATCAGAAGAAATCTATCAGCAGCAAATATTTGCTCATTAATGCTCTTGAGGCTGAAAGGCTAAAAAACCCTGAAGCCATATTTAAAGATGTAGTGGACGGACTGAATGAATAAATCACTTTTATTTATCCGAGTGCCCCGTTCTAAGGATGCCTGTTTGGAATGAACTGTTTGCGGGACTCAGTCCACAGAACCCTGAAGCTGCACCACCACTGCTGCACAAAAGATCTGGGACAAACAAAGATTTAAAAGACAGTTTCAAAGTTCTTAACAATGTTTTATCTCCCATTTCTTCAGAATAATTCTTTGTCATAAGTGAGTTCTCCTCAAAACAGTTCTACAATGTATTATATTCTTGTTTGCATGCTGGAGAATGTCTGCTGTCCATGGTGCAGAGTGGAGACAAAAAAACATTGCAACCATCCTACCTGGTTTATCTGCTATGGAGATCTTGTGTGTTCACGATCAACCGGATTCAGCAATTGCAGCAGATTTTGTCAGTGTATTTCATCGAATGGAACAGAATTTTCTTTATTCATGTCTCAGGCCTTTGCACTTGTGATGAAACCATGTTTTTAGTCTCTGTGAAAGTCCAATTCAGAGATGGCTGACCCAAAATGAGATCATTTACACATTTACATTTAGGCTAAAATTTTGTAAATAACCTTGTATCAAGTCAAATTTGAATATTGGGGCTTGCGGACACTTGGATCATGACACCACAGGAGCAGTATGGAGTATGTGTTTCTTTTTACATTTGAAGAAGTGGTATTGTGGTGTGTAGATAATGAGTGAATTTTCATTTTTGTGAACTATAACTTGAAAATTTTAAGCCAAAACAGGCGAATTCGAGCAAGACAGAGTTGCCTCCATACAAATGCAGACACAGACACAAGGTGGTCGAGGATGGATTATCAGGGAATAAAAATGGTGGATATGGTTATGGAGGGTGAGGCCTGCATGGGGACAGGCAGGCTGGAGCGTGGAAGTGTGCACAGCCAATCATAAACATAAAATGAGTTGTAAAAATGAGAGCTGAGAAAGACTACCACCGAGTTTGGCAGAAAGATCCAGTGGATGAAAAAGCCTGGGTTCTGACAGGTGACATGATGGAGGCGGAGACAGAATGAGGAAACACAAGGAACAAAATGGACCAGAAGCATGATGCATCCATGAAAATGTTAAAACGTTTTGAGAACATTATCATTTATGTTCTAGTAACATTGTCAGTAGAAAGTCTTTATTTTATTTTGTTCCTGGAACATTTACATTTAATCAGGTGAAATCCAGTTTATATGATCTCAGTAATGTGATGTATTTCTGAGTGATCCAAATCAGATCCTACCAGAGGAGTCGGATCCCTTAAAGTATGGTTAGAGGTCTATTAGAGGAGGGGGGGGACCGTTTCTGTAAATGTTAATATGATGAAATCCATAAACATATGTCTGAACCATGAAATATCTTCGCTTACAACCAACAACCTTGAGGAAATAATTGATGTGCATAATTGGACTAGTTGACCTGTGGGGTCAAATCACATTTGAATGGCTATATTTATGTATTCAACCCTGAGAACAGAATGAGTCATCAAACCATATTCATGTTTTTCAGGAGGAGATGAGAGATATACTGATGAATAGATTATCAAAAGATAGCTTACTGGACATGCAATTAACAAATAACAGGGAAACAGGATTGGATAGGATTTATTTCACTAAAAGCAATTACTAAGGGAAATATAATTATGGAATTCTATCAGAACATAAGACATCTTTGTTCTGTATAATTACACTGAGATGAATAATGTACGCCAAAAACAACGGGACAAGGATAAAGCCTTGGGGAACACCACGATTTTTCAGTTTACTGATTCTCCAGGTTGCTTCTTCGTTCCCTCGGGCGCGGCTCCCAGCACAAAAGGAGATTTGATGTTCAGCCGGTCCCTCTCAGCCTCCTCGTCTTCGTCGTAGGGCTCGTCGTCATCGTCCTCCACATCACTGTGGTGGGGGGTGGAGTGGAGGGAGGCTGAGGGAGAGGGGGGCACTGAGAAGGGGCGGGGGTAACGGAAACCCTCTGTCTGTGGAGATAAAAGTGTGTAAAAAAAAATAGGTTGATTATCATTATATTATTTTCTCTTTTCCTTTCATTCCTTTTATTTCTTTACTCCCCTCTGTCTATTGTCTCCTGCTCCGCTTTCTTCCTTTAATTTTTATTTCTCCTTCCTTCCAATCCACCCTTCTATGTCCCCCCTTCATTCCCTTTCTTTCCTCTCTCCCTCCTTTTTTTCGCCTCGTCAATTATAGCTCTCTGATCTAAATCGGTTTCGGCCCACATTTCATCTGTTTATGACTTTCATATCCAAATGGTAATGAAATCGGAAAATCGTGGATCACACAGTCCTTGAGGAGGAAGAGCAAAGGAGAAAGGTCTTATTAGAACAAAAGTGTTCGACCTCAGCACCATCCACAATGACGTCTTGTCATTCATCCAAATGTTACACTGTCAATTACAGCCTGACAAATGTGGACACTGTGCACTCTGACAGGGATTATCATGTAAGTAGAGCGAGGCTGTGTTACAGGTTCTCATAACATGAAAAGGTAATTTTCACTCTGTAGAGCCAATAAGATTTTGTGCTTTAACAAACACAAAATGTCAAACTGTTGATCGCGCCTCGATAAATATCAACATGTGCAATATATATAAATGGTGTTCCATGTACTTCATGCTCTTCATGTCTCTGGGTACAAACAACAGAATTAGTAAAATATGTCAATGTATGGAGAGGAGATGTTGGTCTGCGGTTTGGCTCGATTCAGTTGGAGCAGTGTGCTCGGAGAAGTACTAGGAGAAGTAAATTACTGACAGAGCCACTAAAGACTGTAAAACAGAACTTTTTTACTGTTCAATGAGGTGAAAAGATTCAAAATGAACACTGTAAGTGGACTTAGTGGAGCTGTGCATCGCTCCCTGGGTGTCTGCCCCGGACTCGGAGGCACTGCGGCCGGCCTGTGCGCCCTCTCTTTGTAAACCCCACCCCAAAACGTTTCTCCAGCTACTAAAACCAATCAGTTGTACAGCTGGAGCAGAGGCGGAGGTATTCATTCATTCACTCACTCACGAGCTCTCTTATTTTTTTGGAGTGTTGCTCACCTTCAGAGGGGTGATGGGTTCCATGTTGAACTTCTCTGGGAAAGCTCTGGTTAGTGCCAGATGGCGGGCATGTATGTAGAACTGTCAATCACAAGTCGGCAGAGACATGCATCAACAATTTGACAACAGTTAAGTGCACATGCATTAAAGACATTTATGATTTATAATTGCAAACGATACCATGACAGACAAGGGTAAGAGATGGAGGTGAACACACTGGAAAAGGTTTTCAGACTCCATCTGATATGTAGTCCTGATTAAATACTCAACAGATTTAACTGGGTCTGTGCATGCTCCTCTTTGTCTCAACCAGTTTCATATCTCATTAATCAAAAATCAATGCCTGTTAAACATCATATCACACTCATCAAGCAACTGTTTTATTGCTGATGCAGCAGAAACTCACCCGCCCCAGGTATCTCCAGTCCAGCAGATCAGACAGCCTCTCTGTGCGGTTCCGTTGGATGATGCGCTGGCGCCGTGACTGCTGGCAGAAACTGAACATGAACTGGGTCAGCTGGTTGCAGGACTCGTCTGCGGAACGGAACCGCCGGTCCATGATGTAGACGCCTGTGAGAGAGGGAAAGAGGAGAAGAACGACAAACATAGTCAACTGATTGCGTGTGTGTATGTGTGTGTGTGTGTGTGTGTGTGTGTGTGTGTGTGTGTGTGTGTGTGTCCGTACCATAGGCAGAGGGGTCTGAGACATGCTCCTCCATGAAACAGCCGAAACCTGACAAGTTGGTGGTCACACTGGGGATGCCCATTACAGTGCATTCACCTGGAACACAACACCACACAGCACAGCTTGGAAAATAGCCTGGGTATTTTAGAAGCTGCAACATGGAGTGATTCTATTTTTTCAATTCACAGTTGAAAGCATTTTCAAGCCAAAAATCTGATGGATTCAGGTCCTGCTTTATGTTTTGGGTTTTTGTTGGTTGACCAAAAGAAGCAATTGATTATGCAACCCCACAATATTGTGACATTCTTCACTGTTTTCTAATTGCATTGACCAAATAGTAAATTCATTGGTTAAAAAGAAATTGGCAGTTTAATGGAAAAAGACAATTATAATTGTTGAAGTGAAATTTCTACACTTCTGACTTCAACAGAATTGTAAAGATGATATCCAGATGTTAAGTAAGGAACAGAAGTGAAACAGCAGTCACAGTTTTATATGTTTTATATGATGTGGACATGGTGCAATAAAGTGTGTTGATTTGTGGAGATGTCAGAGCACTGGGAGAGTGTTTAGAGCCGAGTTGTTTAGAGCAGTGTACCTCAGTTGACCTGAGTGCAAAGGATAAAGTGGATAACAGCGCTGCAGTGATTATATGATCATAGCTTTATGTGCTTGCTGTGGAGACGAGCATAACAACTGCAGTGCCTCTGTATTCTCAGGAATGTGATGCATTTGTTTGGAAGGTGCACGTGCATACAACAGGCGGCAATGTGAAGCTTAAAGGCTACCAGGTGTGTAGCCCCATGGTTCATAGTAGGAGGGGAACACTCCAAGGTGACAGCCACGGACGAAATCCTCATAGTCCATGGGCAGCAGGGGACTGGTGGAAGACAGGAACTCAGGGTGGAAGATTATCTGAAAGGAAAAGGGATAAATGTTCATTCGTCACCATTTGCTGTTCATCGGTTCAACAGATCAGACAGAGTTTGAACGCTTCCCAGGGGATGCATCTTAATGTTTTGGTGACCTCTTGACCTCGTAATGCCCACCCCCTTCGTCTTGTACACAATGTTTAACTTTGTGCACAATGTATAGTATATAACCTTAGACATGTCCTCTTTCACTATACCTTTATTCTAAACATTTCATGAGCACTGTCTTGTTTCAAGATTCAAGATTTGACAGCAAAATAATCAAACAGTTCCATCAAACAAAATGTTGGGGCTAAAAATTACAATTGACCGAACGGCCTCTCAGGTGAAATTGTTGTTTACTAGGGCAGTTCCATTTCTTAACCTGCCTATTTGACATGGGCTGTTTGCCTTGCTCCTGAGCTACTTCAGAATTATCCCTTGTCATTAGTGAGTTCCCCTGAAACAGGACTACAATATACTGCCATTTCTTGGTGCGTAGTGGAGTAACAAAACTTTGCGTTCATCCTACCTGCTTTCTCTGCAATGATGATTCTATTGTCAATGTTTTTCATAAGGAGAAACTGAGTTTGGTTTATTTCTGTTCAGATATGTGGCTTTTACCCTAGCCCAAACCTTTTCATAATAAAAGCTCTGCAAATCAAATCTATATGTAAAGCATTGCACCAACAAAACAAGCATTGTGCTTTTACTTCTAAAGAGGAAGGTATTCTATGAATGTTGTTGCCAAGATAGAGATCAGAACTCGCCCAGAGTCAGATATGGTCAAATAAAAAATATTTGACCCACGGTTTGTTGTCGACCACTGCTGTAGTTTATCAGAGGACATAAAAGAAGACATTTTCAACTCGGTCCACAAAATGAAAGCTGGGCCATTAAGAATACACATGCCAAGTGTGAAGACGATAAGACGAAAGGTTCACCAGATATGCATTCCACATACTAATAGACACACATGTATAGGTAAGTGTGTTTGCTTTCCTTAAATCCATGATTTTTAGGCCTATTAAAATCAAAACAAGCTGTCAATGGATGTTTCTGTGGCTAGCTCCTCACAAATGAACAGTAAAGATCCATTGCCATCCATTACCACTGAGTGCTTTTCACTTAAATGCCTAAGTGCACAGCCTCGCACACGTATGAGCTGCAACCTTACAGCATTTAACCCAACATGAAGTACACATGCAGAATGCGCTGTCTACCTTGATGCGGTCGTTCCTGGCGTTGAAGAGGCCGATGCGCCTTATGTTGGACAGGATGGGGTCTGTGGAGTCGTCCAGCATGTTGTGTGTGGTCACTGGGGGGAGGGTTTGCCGCTGCAGCAAAGAGTGTAAAGTGTGTTAAAACAGTGACTGTTACAAAAAAAAAGTACATTTTGACAGTCAAAGTGATCCTTGGTATGATCATGACGTCATTGTAAAGGTTAGCCACACTGCCAATCAATTTTCCATTTGGGCTGATGATCAATCAGTTAATAAATCAATAGAGCTTATTCCCTATGCATCAGGATAAAAGACTGAGGGATGTTGTAGTGAGCAGTGAACGCCACAGGACAGAGAATCTCTGCCTTTACACGCCTGAGTTCATACTAAACAAAACAAAGCCAACATCTTTTTACAGCCATTTAATTTCACAGTCAGCATGCTTTTCAAAATGTGCTTAGAGGAAAGTATAATTTAGAAAATGTATATTTGTTGGCATCAACATAAATACCAGAAGTATCAATTTCCCGACTCTACTTTATTACCTTTCCTTTAATTTACTGCTAAATGACACTCCTTCACTGTTGTTTAAGATTCTTGGTGGCTGTGACTCAGGAAGTAACCAGACTTTAAGGGGCTTGAATCCCAACTTGCCCCAGAAGGCTATGCCAGCATTGTGTGTGTGAGTGATAGAGATAGAGCTGAGCGGAGATTTGGAATGGATTTGCTATGAAATAAGTTATCAGTACAAGCAAATGACAATGTTATATCACTGACTTCTTGGTAAATGTGACCCTGTGATTGCCCACCAAGCCGTGAGCGGGCTACTACAAATCATCCACTTTAAAGTGAGCTGGTGGCTTTGGCGTTTATTCCGATGGGCAATTGTGATGACGGCAAAGAGCAGTGTACAAGCAAGTAATACTGAAACACAGCCATCAACTGTGTTCGTCACAAAATCTTGTAGCAACATTATAGAAAATCTAAATATGCAGGACACATTGTAGATTTTGTCTGTTTGCTCTGAAAGAGGTCAACTATGGTTGTGTGCGAAAAGAGACTGAGACTGAAACTGATCATCAGTGTGGTACAAACAAATGCACTGTACAACTGTAGCGTCGGTTCTGCGATATCCTTCTCAGCTGGTCATGGACGTGTGTAATAAACCCACCCCACCCTCCTAAAGGCTGTTTAGGAGGGTGGGGTGGGTACCAACGAAACATTGTCAAACAGAAAAATAATCACAACAGAACATCCCCCAATTACCAATAAGAGTAAGCTTCTTATCCATCACTCCCCTCACAGCAGTCGTCAATACCACTCACACTCCATTTCCGAAACACCGAAATATTGACTTTGGCATGAATTAATTTAATTGAGTAAGACCTTTGTATCCACACTCAGCTTGTAACAGTGTGCTGTAACATATATCACACTGAAACACTAAAGCTATTGATGCACAGTCTGGGGAAGAGGAAGGTAATTAACCTGCTCTTGGCTTGTTTACAGCTGTGATGTTCTCTGTGCTCCATGGAATCCCCTTTTTGTCCTTCTTGTAATTCATCTACAGCTCGCATTGATCCCTGCTGGGAAATGTCTCATCCATTCATAAAATTAGAAGAATTGGAAAGTATGGAGATTTATCTTCCACAGCATCTTGTATATCTCTCCACACACACACACACACACATATATATATATGTCCAAAGACCTTCAGTCTTGCCGATGCCAGCTTGATTAAATCATATGGCTGGTTCTAGAGGTCACAGCATAAATACAGAGCAGGGCCTACCCCAGAGTTATAAAATGTTTTGCACATGTACATCCAAAACCTTCACTCAGGTTCCAAAAATCATACTTTAAACCTTAAAATAAAAAGAAGGCTGATGATTGATATCAATTGTTACGAAAGCCTTCATCTTGATATAGTTTTTGGCCATAGCACTAAACCAAAGTTTTGGGTATGTTCTGTTTTTTTCCATTTTAGCATATATATTAGAAACATATTCTTCAATTTTCAATGAATGGGAAGACATGCTGTATGTTTCTGACTTGCAAACACACAAAGACCTTTTAGGAGTTTGCACAAACTTTCCTGTTCAGACAACAGCAATTTACAACTGCTCATTACCACCCTCTGACTATGTAGTAGTATTCAAAAGAAGAGGGCCAATACAAGAATTTAAATATCAGTGTTTGACCTAGGTATCAATAGTCTTGTAGACATAAGAACACAATTGTTTTAATCAGAGGATCAAGAAGAAGCTCAAACAGCCTCCGATACCTGAGTGGCATAGATGGCTCTCTTCATCATGCTGAAGTCGTCTCGGTCCAGGATGGAGTTCATATCAGGGATCACCCCTCTGACAACAGATAATGAAATGTATTGTTATTAACTGTATAAGAGGACTAATATGAATGTACACAGCACTTTGATATCAATGTAGTCTGTCAGCTGTGGGTTCAAACACAGTAATTATATCCTTACTTTAAAAGAGCATCGTACAGCTTTTTTCCAAACTTCTCTTTCACATTATGAGCTGTGTCCCTGCAAGAGAAAATCTAAACTTTAGACCCAAACTCATTCAATCACAAAAATCATAGTAAACTGGGGCAGTCATTCTAAATTTTCTAACATGATGATATCAGTGGCTAATGTTTGAGAAACCAGCCTTTAATGCTTTAGGTTAGAGAAGGTGGCTCATGCTTGCTCTCTTTCACAGCAACACTATCAGAAGATTTACTGTTGAGCTCCACTTTCACCATCGGAATTGCGGAACATCTTACACCATTAACATGCTGCTGATGTTAAGAGTTCAGCTCAGTGACCGACCTACTGTACTTAACAGCTCCCTCTTCACAGAAAAACAGTAGATATCAAAATGACACCTTGTTAAAGTTGGAAAACAACATTTGCTTGGACTCCAAATCCTGCAAAATTCAAATCCTGGTGATGCATTTGATACCATCCACTCAGTATTAGTAGATAAACTGGAAAACTGTACACAATGGGTCAGTGTCATTGTTCCCTGCTAAAACATTGTACATGATGTTAATGTACATATACTGCAATTCCAGTGAATAACAAATGGACTGTATCAATATAGAGCTTTTCCAGTCTTATTGACCATTCAAAGCTTTTTACAATACATTCACCTATACACGCATGCGTATAGTGTTTCTATATGCATGCCTTTTCTGTCCCATCATTCATTCTCATAGTTCAGTATCTTGCCCAAGGACACTCCCAAATGCAGACAGGAGGAGCTGGGAGTCAAACAACTGATCTTCTGGTCTACCTCCTGAGCCACAGCCACCAGTGTCATCTTGCTATGTTGGTCCTGACCTGTACTGTAATTCAAACTACAGTGTGACATACCAGAGCTGTTTGCGTATCGCCTGCCCCTTCAACGACTCCACATTAAAGTTGTTGGTTTTGGCAGGCATGATAAAGAAAACTACCACTGTTACATCACTTTTGTGGACCTGTAGAGAAAGTGAAGAGTGACGTGGACAGGAATGCATGCTTAATATATTGTACTTATATATTCTGTCCACACAGTACAGAACTGAAACATAAAACCAGAGGACCTCACCCGCAGCAGGTAGTTGAGTCTGGACAGTGATTCGAGAAAAATATCAGCACCCTTGTTGGAGAACTCATAGCGTCCAGCGATGAAAAAGAAAAGGGTTTTGTCCAGGTTGAAGTCCAAATGACTGCAAAGAGGTTATTATAGTCAGAAACTATAAATTATTTCCCATCCATCCATCCATCCATCTATCCATCCACTGTCCAAGAAATAAAAACAATTCTGATGGCTCATTACTTCAACAGAAACACTGGGTTTCTTCAACATGAGGCGGATCACAGCTTCACTCACCCATAAAAGTGTCCTCGGACAAATTCTTGTATGCGGGCCTTGCTGGTGGAGTGCAGATTCTGAAACTCGTGCATGGCTGAGAACTTCTTCACATTCAGCCCATTCGGGGTTACCACATCTGTACCATCAACACAGCAACAGGAGGGCTTTAATGACAGGCACACAGTTCAAACGATTGGTTAGTTTTGTCCTGATAGGGGTGCATGAGGGGGTAAGGGCGTCAGCAACTCTGGCTTCGACATCTTGGGGACATGAATATTCTAATAAACTGCAGTTATTAGCAGGAGTCAGAGCAGGAGTCGGACAGATGGACCATTCATCCATTACTGCACTACAGCAGTGAGCAGCTGCCCCACCTGGCCTCCTGTGCAGAATGCTGTTGGCCTCCACAGCTGTGATCTCTGAAACTGTGGTGAAGACATGAGCACAGTGGACTGCGGCTCTCTCCAGACAGTAGCGATGGTAGATCTGTCTTTCCCCTGCCTCCTTGTCAATGTTGAACTGCAATACATGCACACACACACCAACACACACACACACACACACAGAGGGGACAGGCCAATACAGTTTAAGGTGCCATTCCTTCAAGAATTCTCATTTTAACTTTTAAATATGGACTCACACACTATCCAACAACGTCTGAAATGTCCTTAAGAAAATTGATATCAGGGGGTTAACATATGTATCTGTCCATCATTGATGTCAAATAATTGCAGCTGATTCAGTCATACACACATGGCTGGCCTGTTGTGATATATCATGTTCACGTAGTAAAAGGTCTCACTCACACACACACATACTGTACATAACACACTCAGACGCGCACACAAACACACACACACACAC